AGTTAGAGAGATGAAGGCTGGGAGAAGATATAAGGAGCAGGAAAGACCATCCTTCCTGAAGGCAGATATAATATGTTTGCATCTTCTGGGTGGAACAGATTCCCAATGGTGATTCTTTCTCTTCTATAGCATGTTGTGGGGTCCTCAGTCAAAGTTAGCCTCTCTGGCTAGCTACTTCTGATCCCATTTTCAGCCTCTGCAGCCAATGATAACCTCGAGCTTCCTTCTGCTGAGAGCCCAATTTCTTTGGTATGAGCCTTTTCCAACAGCCCCAAGGCCAGATCCTTCCCACAGGTTTTCTTGGCTCACAAGAACACTCTGGCCTCCTTTCCCCTCGCCTGCCACGGTGCATGAGCAGTGTTCTCTAAACAATAGCCTTGATTCATTCAACGTTTTCTTAGGATGGATACTATGAGCTACTTTTCTGTTCTTGCTTTTAGGGATTTTGCCCAAGTTCATTCTTAGTTAGTCAACATGTGTTTATAAGGTATATGTACAAAAAATCCAGAAATAATGATAATAGTTACAATTAGAGTGGATAAAATGTTTTTAAAAACTTAGAAATTTTGAGATAATTCACTTTTTTTCCTTAGGTGATTTATTTTTTAAGAAATATGTCTTATATAATATGAACATTTTCCCCAAACTTTCTGACTTTAAATTCAATATCATTGCACCATTCCTATGAGGGAAAATAACATTTTATAAGAACTTGCAACTAATTGCTAGTAACTTTAGCTCCCTCTTCATCTCTCCCCTTCTCTCCCGCATCTTGCCAAAGTTTAAGGTTCTCTAGGGGTACAAAGGATTTTCACATCAGAACTTAGATTATTGCTGATGTCATTCATGACATAAATTATTAATTATTCTGAATATCAAATTTAAACAACTTTCCAATCCAAGTTCAGGGTATCAAAACCAAAATTATCTCACAAATGAGAAAGTCTCAATAGTTTATAGATTATTCTTACTTGTTTGAGATAATTACTTGAGGAAAACACAGGAAGTTGTTGACTGTCAAAAGAGAACTGGAGCCCAGCCAGTGTGTCTCAGTGGTTGAACATTGAACTAGGGACCAAAAGGTCACTGCTTTATTTCCAAATCAGGGCACTGGGTTTCATGCTCCTTCTCCAGCAGGGTGCATATAGGAAACAGAGCCCATCGATGTTGATGTTTCTCATCGATGTTTCTATCTCCCACTTCCTCTCTCTTAAAAATCAATAAAAACTTTTTTTTTTTTTAAGAGAGAGAGAACTGGAGGCCTGGGATAATGGGGAGGAGAAAGACTTACTTTTCAGTAAATATAATTTTGAACCTTTTGCATTTTATACTATACAGTCTCAATTTTTAAAAATTATTAATTGGCTTTTAAAAAGAAAAACTACCATTCTAATACTCAATGTTAGCAGTAGAAGTTACCTTCTGATATTAGAAAATGGAGCTTAAGTTTTAAGGATAAAAAAGAGTTTTAAGGATAAATTAAATTGTGTATATTAGATTTACACAAGTTTAACTTAGTTAAGCTTAGTAATTTTTTGAGATTTTCTCCTAATCTCAGATTGCTTAAAATTTCAACCAAAACAAAGAGGCAGCCCTACCTGGTTAAGCTTAGTGGATAGAGCATCGGCCCACAGACTGAAGGGCCCCAGGTTCGATTCTGATCAAGGGCATGTACCTTGGTTGCAAGTTTCCTCACCCTGATTGGAAGGCAACCAATCAATGTGTCTTTCTCACATCAATGTTTCTCTGTCTCTCCCTCACCCTTCCATTCTCTCTAAAAACCAATGGAAAAAATATCCTCAGGTGAAGATTAAAATAGCAACAACAAACAGTTTGAGTTTTAGGAAGAGGGAGTTTGTAGAAAGGCATGTCTTATGGACCAATGAGTCCTTTTCATCTTTTGTCAAGGGCCTGACATCTACCAGGAGACAAAGGTAATAAGCCCTGGTGCCCACCCTGGAGAAGATTTGCATATCAGGAAAGAGTAGTGATATTTTGAATTCTCGGAGTTGGGATTGGAGGAACAGGAAACCCTTAGACTGAACAGAGAAGACAAGAAGAACTTGAAGTCAAAATGGAGTCTACACATGACACAGAAGCCACTAGAATCTAAATACAACAGGGGTTGTATTTAGATTCAATGAACCCCTATGTTCATTGCAGTGTTACTTACAATAGCCAAGATTTGAAAGTGCCCCTCAGTAACTGAGTGGATAAAAAAAAGCTGTGGTACATTTACACAATAGACTACTACTTGGCAGTAAAAATGAAGGAAATCCTAATTTTTGCGACAGCATGGATGGACCTGGAGAGCATTATGCTAAGTGAAATAAGTCAGCTAGAGAAAAACAAGTACCATGTGATCTCACTTATACTAGTATGCAGAATCTAATGAACAAAATAGAAACAGATTCATAGATACAGAAAACAGATTGACAGTTGTCAGAGGAGAAGGGAGTTGGGGGATTGGGTGAAAACAGTGAAGGGATTAAGAAAAAAAAAAAAAAAAAAAAAACCCACAAAAACTCATAGACACATACAACAGTATGCTGATTACCAGAGGAAAAGGGAGGTGAGGGGAGATAAAAGAGAGTAAAGCAGGGAGGGGATAAATGGTGACAGAAAGAGACTTGACTTTGGGCCGTAAACACACAATACAATACGTATTTTCCGGCGTATAAGACGACTTTTGAACCAGAAAAAAAGTCAACCGAAAATCGGGGGCAAAAGACCAAAATTGCACAAAAATTAGCTGCAGATCTTGATGGCAAAGTAAGTCTTTTCTTTGAAGTGGGGGGTAGTCTTATACAGTGAATATAGGCCTAAACCTATGTTTTAACTGTAAAATTAGGGGGGTCATTATACGCCGGGAAAAACGGGTATACAGATAACATATTAGAGAATTGTACACAGGAAACCTATGCAATTTTATTAACCAATGTCACCCCAATAAATTAAATAAAAATTAAAAGAATAGCTTTTTTACATAAATAATAAATAAATAAATAAATAAATAAATAAATAAATAAATAAATAAAGTGGGGGGCGGGTACTAAGGATGGGAGAATGTAGTCAAAGCAAAAGGTGAGAAAAGACTCTTTTCCACAGCCAGGGGTCTGCACCCAAAGCAAAGTGAAGAAGCAAAGCTCAAATTTCCCCAGCAATTGGTTCAGCTCTTAGTAATGATGAAATGATCACCCTGGGCCAAATCCTGCCTTAAAGGGAAGGTGCTGGCCTTCTAAACTCCTGCAAGGCTTTTCTAAGCCTCAGTATTTCTCATCTTTAAGTCAGGAATAGTAATACCTGCATATAAAATTGTTGTGAGGATTTGGCACAGTGTATATAAAATGGCTTACATTATGTTGGGAGCATAATAGTTCTTCAATACTATCTTATTATATTATATAATAAAAATAACTATTTTCTTTGTTGTCATCATAGTTATTGTGGTTGTTGTTGTTACCTGTAAATGAAGCCAAATATTGTAATGATGGATCTCATTCCATCCTCATGTCACACTCCTTTTGAGGTAACTATATTTCCCAAACTACTTTGCTCTTAGAATCTGGATGCCAGGTATGTTCCACCAATTTAGAGGCAATCAATGTAAGAACTGGAAGATCGAATGTCTTCCTGTTGCTGTTTATTTTGGCAAACAAAATCACAGAGCCATGAGGCAGCAGGAGCCATGGTGGAAGCAGCTGCTTGACCTCCAGATCACAGCTGCAGTAGATGACTCTTGACATCAATGAATGGTGGCCTTGACTTCCACTCCTCCAACCCTTTCAGTGACTCTGTAAGCATCTACTTCCTGAATTAGCCTCTTTATGTTTAAATGCCTAAAGTGGTAATTCCTGTTTCTAGAAATGAATCCTGACTGATACACAGATGGATATCTCATGTAAAGAAATTTCATATATAAACTTATCTGAAAGAATTTGTCATATTGCTGTCTCACACTTTCTTAGATTTAAAAATGTGTTAATTCTATTTAAACCAGTTCAGTGTTCTCTTTACTGATGTCATTCTCTTTGAGAGCTATTGACATGACACAAAGTTTCCTGGAATTCTGAACAGTTAACACTGTATTTGTATATCATGTTGTAAGGCAGAATATATTTTTGTGACAATCATAAATGCATCCACTGTATTCCTTTATACTTTATTTTATTGAGAAAATGACCCCTGAGATAGTTTTGCTTCCGGATATCCATTCTTTCTTTCTTTCTAAGTATTAACTGGGTAGTTGAAGGCACTACTACTAAGCTAAAATTTCTCCCCACTTTCCCTTAAAGCCATATGACTTGTCCATAGCCATATAACTAAATTTTGGCCAGTTACATGTAAGAAAAAATGTTTTCTGTAAATCCTAGAAAGTGTCTTCAGAAGAAGTACTGACCATTCTTTGCCCCTTGCTCTTTCCTGTTAGCTGGAGTGAGAATGTAATGATAGCACTAACAGCCATCTGGGGTCAGTAGGTAGTATGCAAAGAGAATATGCCCTGAGAATAACTTGCCACATAGGTTTGGATAGTGTACCTCCAGATTGCTTTTACATAAGAAAAAGTGATAATCTCTTAACTTTCTAAAGTCACTGTTATTTTGTTTCTGCTTTGTTATAACTTATCCCTAGTTATCATAAAGGGAACAACCAAACTTCCTCCCTTCATATCAACTATGGACTATTTCTCAGTCATTAAAAAACAGGAGCATTCTCAAAAGTTGCTCAAATTGGTGCATTCTCAAAACTACTGCACACAAGAAGGCAAGTTGCCAAATGTTGATTGGGGTTTAAAATTAAAGACATAAAATGATTTTACTGAGGACAGATCAGTGTATGCAGCAACAAAGTTTGTAAACCAGATGAAAACTTTGACTTGCTAATATTTTTCAATATCAAGTCAATGCACCAATTTTAGGTTGAATAAAAGGCAAGTACTTCACCCTAGATGATGGTCCACTAGGACTAGGCTTATTGACCCCAAATGGCTAAGTTTTTGTTTAAACTTGCCCTCTGCTGTTCATTGTGTGACGACTATACCCCAGTTGACAGCATATCCAATAACATAATCTGCTTTGCAGCTCGGTATTCCAGAGCCCATAGATCAGAGGATTAAAACACTGGCCAAATGAAAAGACTCCAAAAAGCACCAGATTTAAAGCAAAGAAAAACACTCCACACATCTTTCCCAAACCTATAAATATCAGGGTTGGTATTACGTGTAAGGTGATCTGCAAAAAATGAATTAGAACTGTTTTCCTCGCTTTGATATTTGACCTGTTAAAATGGCCAGCACGTTTGCCTTCTTGATATATTAGAGAGTAACTTATAAGAATTATAGCTAGAGGAAGGAGAAAGAAAACCATGCCAATGGCTCTGGCAGGAATACCATTGAAAATCACTGGGCAAAGGGGCTCTACTTTTAAAACAGAAACCGAAGTGGAGCTGGTGCCCTCTATGACGAATAAGCAAACATTCTTGAGTATAATCATTATCCAAGTCCCAGCCAGGATTCTATACTTAACTGAATCTATAAAGGACAGAGATTTCAATGGCCAACATATGACCAGGTAAGTGTTGACAGCCATCAAGGCCAGAGTAAAGAGGATCCCTTCTCCAAAACTTATCTGGGCCCCAAACACCAACCAGCACATTAGCACGGGGCTGTTGGCCATCAGGGCCCTCATCCCTTGGAACACCATTCCCAGGCCACAGTAGGAAGAGATGCACAGCAGATGGTGGCAGAGGAAGATGTATCTGACCTCTTTCCTAAGTTTTGAATTCTGTGATACTATTGCGATGATGATGATCGTGATGAATGTGGCAAAGGAGAAAGTGACCACGTACACAGAGGCCTTCACTGTTGCTTCGAGCCTCAGCCAATCTGAGATGTTGCAGTGTTCAGAAGTCAAGTTCATGATCACCAGGATTACTTGGCTCCTGCAGGAGAGAAGAACAAGAGTGAATCTAGCTTAAAGCATTTCCTGTGGTTTTCCAGCTCTCTGATCTTGTGCACAGACTCAAGGGACAGATTGCATGTTTTTCAGTATAGAGGATGACAATTTTAGATCTTATTGACATGGATCATTAAACTGGAGAAATCATCAGGGGCCTTCTCTTTATTTCAGGAGAGAGGCATACATTCAAATCATCTAAAGGGAGGATTTGAAATGCATGCTTTTATACTCATCAAATTGCACAAAATCAGGTCAAGGTTCTATTCCTTATGCATCCTCTGTCCCATCTTTGATTGTAAGAATGATTTAAGTGCAAAGCATAAAGCACAACACTGCTGAAGTCAATTGACTAACTAACAAGCCCTTGTTAAGACTTAGCACTTGCAAAGATCTGGGGACGAAGTGAGGGCAAGAGCTGTGAAGGAGGCAGAGAAGTCATTGATGTGAAGACTTGAATTCATTTGAGTCCATAAGACATGAAAGAGAGATTAACAGTAATGATGACAATCCTGGGGAATATTTACTGAGTAATTGCTAGGGATCAAAATTGTTCTCAGGGCATATTCCTCACAAACCCTGGAGGATATTTTCTTTTCCACCATGTGGTTTTCACAAAGGGGGAAAAGGGGACTTGGAGAGGCTAACTAACCTGCTTCAGGTTGGGTGATTATTCCCTAGTAAGGCCAGGATCTATATTTGGTAGAGCTCCAGAGCCCATTCTCTCAACACTGCAAGGAAGTTTATGTCTAAGGTAAAACCAAATGAATACATTCCCTGAGGTCTTCTTTGGTTAATGTCATTTGACTTGACAACTAGACCCCATTTGTAGAAATATTGTTTCTATTGTGAAAAAGCTGGAAGACTGAACGTCTAGGGCAGAGGTCTGCAACCTTTAAAGAGCCACTTGGACCTGTTTCTGAAGGAAAAAAAAAAAAAACCTGGGAGCCCCAAAACCATTGCGACATTTAAAACAAATATAACACAGCATATATTGTTTCTTACCTTAATGCTATATACCAGATCGTGCAGTTAGCTGTCAATCTGAAGAAAAAAAGGACTTTTTCACTTAATAATGTAAAATATATTTTTGCAAATTAATAGCTAATTAAAATATTTAATTTACCTGGTTAATGGGATTTTTGCTCCTGAACCTCAGTGCACAGTGTCAGCACATCAGGGCTGTAAGACGTTACCTTCATTTTCACACAGGCTTGCAAGTTGTCGGAGCCTCAGTAAAGCTTCAAAAGAGCCGCATGCGGCTCTGGAGCCGTAGGTTGCCGACACCTGGTAGGGAAATGCTTGCATCTCAGGATCTTTGATGGACTATAACTACTAAAATGGTAAGAGCTGTCTGGTAGCCTCTAAAATCTTCTCAAACATGCACAGCAATGAATGATACACTTTGTAACATCCTGGGGAACCCTCCAAAGTACAGTATCTTTATTGTCTCTGTGGAAGTCTGTTGTAGAGACAACAACTGTTGCCTCCCCACCTGCACCCCCTCCAAGGTCAGAAGCCTACCATAGCCTTGCTGCCTGCTTCCTCATGACCTATAACATCACCTCTTCCTCCATCCAACTTAATTGGACCTGACCTAGAGATATCACTTATAGAAAATCAAACTGTGCTGAGTTAATGTCTGTCTCTGAAAAATTTCACCCAAGGATTTTCACATACAAAATGTAATCCAAGTGTGATGTCAAATAAGTGACCTGCCAGTCATTATGGATTATAGACAAGTAGAAGAAAGATGCTCTAGTTTTTATTCTTTTTTTAAAAATATATTTTTTATTCATTTTTTACAGAGAGGAAGAGAGAGGGATAAAGAGTTAGAAACATCGATGAGAGAGAATCATTGGTCAGCTGCCTCTTACTCAACCCCTACTGGGGTTGTGCCCCCAACCAAGGTACATGCCCTTGAGCAGAATCAAACCTGGGACACTCTATTCACTGAGCCAAACCGGTTTTGGCTAATTTTCATTCTTGAAAGGTCAATGCAAGTCTCACTTTCTCCAAGGAGCTTTCTCTCACTGCCTCAGTCATCCCTCTATTTCTAAACAACCTTCCCATAGCACACCTAGCTTCCTCATGCTTTTGGTAAATGAGCAATAATAGAGGCCATAAAGCCCCTTATAGGCCATAAAAGCCCTTGCACAACAAAAAGAAGAGCCTTGACTTCTGATTCCATTCAGATGCTCTGCATTTTCTGTCCTTGGGTTCTAAAAACATAACACACCCATATATTATTTGACCTAGCTCAAATGGTTTTATTCTTGCCTCTAAAGTTCAAAGTATATACAATGGACACTGAAAAGGTACAATAAATTTTATTGATTTCCTAAAGGTCATATCACAATGGAGACACAACTATTGCAACTTCCTGAGAATCTAAAATGTCATAGCTCCTTACAAAATCCCTTGGTGAAGGCACACAGTTTTTTCTGCCTACTGTATTGTCACTCTTTGTGGAGAATTTTTCCTATGCTGATGGATTTTTTTTTTTTACATTGTCATGCTGTTGATCTCTAGGCATCTATTTTTCTCTAAAATCCAGCACTTCGGAAAGGGATAAAAATTGTAACTGTCATTGTCAAACTCACTATCAAGCTTTTTTTTAGCTTTGGATTTTTCAATCAAAATCTTACACCAGTCCAGCCAGCATGGCTCAGTGGTTGAGCTTTGATCTATGAACCAGGAGGTCAGGGTTCATTCGATTCCCAGTCAGGGCATATTCCAGGTTGTGGGGTCAATCCCCAGTGTGGGTGCAAGAGGCAGCCAGTCAAGGATTTTCTCTCATCACTGATGTTTCTGTCTCTCTCTCTCCCTCCCTTTCTCTCTGAAATCAATAAAAATAATTTATTAAAAAATCTTACATAAGAATCCTTCAATAATAAACAGAAAAGTGCATTCTGTGCACATTGAATGCCTAATTGCTCACTCCCAGAGCACACCTCTGTAACTGGCCTCAGGGCACCACCATGGAAACTGAGGACCCCACTGAAAACCTGGCAAGCTGAAATAAGCACTCTACCATTGGCCTGGGGGCATCACATGAACTGGGAACTAAGCTGCAATCAACTGCCAACAAGAAATGTGACTGGACATTGAAATCACCACACTTCTCTGGTCCTCAGTTTCTTACATCACAGACATACACCATCATCAAGCTCCACATCCTTTCTCTTTATATCTACAGTCATCCTCACTCACATCCTCAGAGGCCAACTCTAAACTTGGATCTGGAGTATCTGAGTTTTTACTCTTGACAACAAGATTGTCTCCACCTCTATTTCAGCTATAGTATCTTATTCCTGTGCTGGAGCCATAAATAGAACCCTAAGCTCTCTAGGACAGAGTCCACCTCATCCTGCCAGGTTCTCTGTCAGGATCTGAAACCCAGAGTCTGAGGCCCAACTTAGGGTGGTCACTGCTGGCAGGCTCTACAATGGTGGAGACCTCCTTGTCTCCTTGGGCCTCCTAACAACACCCACTTCCAGGCTCAGTGTTGTGGGATTGGCCCAGCTGATGGGCTCTATTCCTCATTATTCAGTCTTGCTCTCCATACACCATTCTGCCCAGAATCTGTCATCAGCTACAGCTTCCCAGCTGGATTATTGCTTGAAATGACTTCCCTGCACCTGGTGGGGTTCATCTGCCCCCCCCCTTCATCTCCCCACCACACACACACACACACACACACACACACACACACACACACATCTGTCTAGTTTATTTGACAACACCTCTCCGATAGCAATGAGCTAGGCTTGGCCTATCTGTGTTCTAATACTTGAAACCCTATACTGAGCATGAGTGACTGTCATTGTTCTTCCTTTATAATAAAATTCTAAAAGCTGTTCCTTCTCCAATGAATTACTGCAGCTGCAGCTGTAATAAAGATAAAACTCCCAACCGCTCTCCCTCCTGATCTGAAGTACTTTAAAGCAACTATTTATTGAGACCAAGCAAGAACTACTTTCTCTGGTTTTCCAACTACTTTCTCTGGTTTAACACACTAATCAATGTTCATCATTTCACTCAACCAATCTTCATTGAGCCATGAAACACACAACATATAATCCTCAATAGTAAAGTTAAAAGTGGGAAAACACTGCTTAGCCAGTGTTGCTCAGTGGTTGAGCATCAACCTATGAACAAGATAGCCATGATTTGATTGCTGGTCAGGGCATGTATCCAGGTTTTAGGCACTATACCCAGTGAGGGGCATGCAGGAGGCAGGCAATCAAATGATTCTCTCTCGTCATTGATGTTTCTCTCTCTCTCCCTCTCCCTTTCTCTCTGAAATCCATAAAAATATTTTTAAAGGTGATAAAACACCATTACTAACATACAAAAGAGTCATGTCCAGTGAAGATTCAGAAAACAATGTAATTAGATAATAACCAGAAACATCATCTATATTATTACTCATTTACCAAAAGCATGAGGAAGCTAGGTGTGCTATGGGAGGGTTGTTTAGAAATAGAGGGATCACTGAGGCAGTGAGAGAAAGTTCCTTGGAGTGAGACTTGCATTGACATTTCAAGAGTGAAAACTAAAGCAAAGCAGTGTCAAGGGTGAGTTGGGGAAGGAAACGGAGAGGTACAGATCCCAGGCAACAGAAAGCCATGGGAGTCAAGATGGGTATGTTCAGGGGACAATGATAGATTGGAGTGATGGCTTGTTTATAAGACTAAGGATAGACTGGGGGCTTTGATACCAATTCAAGGTTTAAATTTTATTTTGTAGGCCCTGTATGATTAAAATTGGGAGTAGTAGATGCCATAGGTTAAGAACCAACATGAGATGCCCACCCTTGCTTGCCTAAGTGGCATTTGATAAGAAGTCTGCAGAGTAGGCAGCTGGGCCAATGACAGATTTGCACAATGAAGGCATTGCTAGCAAAATGGGTGGCTCAGAATATTTTTTGTACACATGAAATCTCCAAGAGGGCTGTAAAT